AAACTCAAAATGGAAATCCACTTTCAAAACAAACTTTTTCTTTGCTTCTTCCCGTCCTCGAGCTTTTCCCCTAACATTGACTGAGTTACTTTAGAAAATGTTAAGTCTGTATATTTGAACTTATCACTGTCTATTTGGATTATTTTAAAAAGCAAGAAATTCAAAATAATGCTGTTGGGATTTATGCAGACCTTGGCCAAGCAGCAGATTTTCTAAGGACCAGAATGTGTGTAAATTGGAAGACCTCATGGTTAGAATCTAATCATTTTCTTTTGGCTGGCTGCCTCTTCTTGATCTCTTCTATTTACCTGCTTGCCTTCTACTCCTCCTTGGATGGTATGCTTGGGTTTTGTAGTGGCTGGGGGGTGGGCTCCACTGCTAGGGAGGGAGCCTGGTATTCTTTGTTCTTCACCTGCCAGAGGAATTAGAAGGGCCAGAGTGGGGAGTCTGTGCGCTGTGTAGGTTTGACTGTGGCAAAAGCAGAAGGTGAGAAGGACCACCTAGGTAGAGAGATCTGCAGCAGGTGCAGAGTAGAGAGATCATAAAGAGCAAGTACTTCATAATGACTGAACATCCTTGCACTTTTTCCTTTGAAATTCTCTTTTCCTTATTGATTTCTATGAGTTCTTGATGTAGTATATATTAAGTATATTGCAAATGGATTCTCCTGTCTCTTTTAACCTTCTTTATTATATACTTTTGCCAGACAAGTGTCCTTAAACAACTTTTTCTGTATCATTTGATTGTTTACTTTTTATTTGGTACAGTTCATAAATTCAAATGACAATTAAAAAAATAGGCTTACAGAGATGCTTCAGTGGTACATCTTTCTATCCTGTCCACTAACCTTCTCCTTTGTAGGTGACTATGTTAGGACACTTTTGTATATAATTTCTGATCAGTTTATTCTCTTAATTAACTTATTTCAGAACAGCTTTATATTTACATAATTCTTTCAAAGATAGTGCGGTTATTCTATATCTCACACATATATTCCTCTGTTATCAACATCTTACGTTAGTATGGTGCATTGGTTGCAGTTAATGAACCAACACTGAAGTTCATACTTTATTCAGATGTCCTCAGTTTCTTCATAATGTCCTTTCTCTGCTCCCAGATCTCATCCAGGATATTACATTTAATACTCCTCTCTCAAAGCTCTTCTTGGTTGTAACAAAACCCAAAAAGCTTCTCAGACTTTCTTTGTTTTTGACAGTTTTTGGATTACTATTCAGGTATTTTGTAAAATTTCCCTCAATTGAAATTAAAAAAATATATATAATGTACACACCATAATATCCTCCTTTTTAAAATTGTACAATTCAGTGATTTTTAGTATATTGACAATGTTTTACAAACATCCCTACTATTTAATTCCAGAACATTTTATCATCCTATAAAGAAACGCAATAACCACTAGCAATCACTCTCTACTCATCCTTCCACCATTCTCTGACCATCACTGCTCGGCTTTCTGTCTCTATGGATTTGACTATTTTGAACATTTCATATAAGTCACTCATACAAAATGTGGCCTTTTGTGTTTGGATTTTTTCACTTAGCATAACATTTTTCAGGGTTCATCCATTTTACAGCATGAATCAATACTTCATTCCTTTTTATGGCTAAATGATATAGTATAGATATGCCATACCACATATTTTATTTATCCATTTATCAGTTGATAGACATCTGAGTTATTTCCTCTCTCTATTATAATGACTGCTATGAAAATTCATGTACAAATTTTTGCATAGATGTGTGTTTTCATTTCTTTTTGGTTATATATTTAAAGTAGAGTTGTGGGTCATAGGATAACTTTATGGTTAAATTTTTAGGTATTACCAAACTTTTTTCTAAAGTGGCTGCATTAATTTACATTCCTATCAGCAACGTATGAAGGTTCCAATTTGTCCACATCCTCCATAACACTTGTTATTGGCTTTTTGATGATAGCCCTCCTACTGAGTGTGAAGTGGCACCTTATTGAGCTAATCTTTTGCATTTCCCTAATGACTATTCATGTTGAACATCTTTTCATGTGCTGATTAGCCATTTGTTTATCGTTTTTTTGGGTGAATTATTTATTCAAATCTTTTGCATTTTAATTTATTTTCTCTTTTTATTGTTGAATTGTGAGACTTCCTTTATATGATATTTGCAAATATTTTCCACCATTCTGCTGGTTGTCATTTTATTTTCTTAATAGTGTCCTTTGAAGCAAAAACTTCTATGTGATTGTGATAAAGTCCACTTTATTTTTTTGGCTGCTTGTGCATTAGGTATCCTATCTAAGAAAACATTGCTTACTTAAGTCAATATCACACAGATTTACACCAATGTTTTCATCTAAGAGTTTTATATTTTAAACTCTTACATTAAGTCTTTAATCCATTTTGATTTAATTTTTATATATGATATACGAGTTCTGATCAGTTTTACAGATTCTTTAGCTTCAGTTGTATAGAGAAAAGTTCTTTTTGCTTTGTTTTGTTTTAATTTTGAGAATAGTTTTACTCCAGATTTGTTGTCCCTTAAGCTTATACCTTTGAGTGTATGACTTGGGGATAGGTCTAGACTTTGGAAAAAATGGAATTGTTGGGTGACATATCTGTCTAGCAACACAGTCCTTATAACAAAGCATATTGGTAAAGTCCCCCTCCCCTTTTTTTTTTGTATATTCCCATTTGCAGGGCATGCTCAATCAGGCTTGTAAATTGATATAAATTATACTCTTTAAGTATATGAGTGATCCAATATGGCAGCTCTCTTTGGATTGTGTGTAAGGCTCAGGGAGCTTGTCGTGTCTTCTTTGGCATCTAAAGCCAGCTTCTTACGGTGGTAGAGCAGCCAGAAAATTATCAGGAGTGTGGTCAGAGTTGTCAAAAAGAGCAGGCTGGAAAAGGATTTGGAAGATGGGTCAATAGACAATCAAGTATGTTAGAGGTGAGAATTAAATATAATTTTGTTTTATCTTAATATTTATTTTTTAATTCTAAAGGTAATTAACACTGTATAAAGTATAAACATGGTAAAAACATTAAAAAAAAAAAACCATACAAATACCCAAATTGTTACAGCCAACATGAGCCTAAAGGGACATGACTACTGAACATGTGTATGGTATCTTGCAACAAGAAAATGACATTAAGAAAAATCTGAGGAAATATGAGTAAGGTACAAATTTTAATTAACAACCATAACATATATACCCAATTTTTATTTCCCAGTGGAAGTTACCACTGTAATAATTGGGGCTACTCAAAGAGCTAACACATTTATAGAGTTTTTGGTCTGAATCAAACACTATTCTATATATGCATAATCACTCATTTAACTGTGAAATCATTGTGTAAGATAAGTACAAATCCTCCATATTTTACAGATTAAAAAAAAAATAAGGCACAGAAAGTTAGATAATTGCCTAAAGTAACATTGCTGTCAAGTTTCACAACTAGAATTTGAATCAAATGAGTCTGAGTCCAAGGATGGTTTTCAACACTATAGTGGTTTGTATCCATTCATACATTTTTTTAATGTGCATGTAAACATATATTTACATAAAATATTTACATAGCATTAATTTTACATAATATTTTGCTATTCACTCCCATGATCAGAGTTGACTTTCTATTTCTAGGGGAGTAACTAAAAATAGTCAATATGCCAGAGTGGCATATTTTGGGATAGTATGTTATGAACTCCTTCATTTTTACTTCACAAGAATGTGTAAAAATGAACTATTAGTGCAATTTTGTAGATCAAAATCTGTTTAATATTGATAATTTCAAATGATTCATTCTTTATATGAGCTGTATTATATTTCTATATATCAGCCTATTATTGTTTATATACATAGGTAAAAATTTACTTAGCCTGTATATCTTTCATGAGGCACATTACATAGTTTTCAAGATTTTATTATGATAGATGTCTGCATTGACATGTCTCTTCACACTTGTTTGTATAGTACAAGATGATTGGGAACAGAGCACTAGCTTAGGGGGTGTGGGGGGGATTTTAGCTGTTTAGTCACCATTAGCCCACCCTCACCCTCAGTTCTTTGACATGGAGAATTGAGAAAATAGCAAAGCTATGTAAAATTCTATGCAAATACAGCTTCGGGATTATTTCTTTAGCTTTCTCTCCTCAGCATTGTCTTTTTCCATGTTATACATATGTAACAATTTTGGAGTTACCAAAGTGTCTCTTAAATCTGTAGAGGGTGTTATTTGGAAAGAAAAAAAAAATCATTGTATCTACTTGCTCATTCCTATTGTATGAAAGTGTTATTTTCCCCACTCCAACTATCACTGATTATTGGTAAAAATTTCAATATACCTATGTAAAGGTTTTATGTAGGAATACAAATTCATTTTTCATTTTATACGAATTGGGTAGACAACTTTTCCAATTTACTTACTTATCCATTCTGTATTGGAGAGTTTAATTACATTATGATTGTTTTGGCATAGTTTTGACAATTTGCAAAAAAAAAAAAACTGTATAAAGCAGAAAAAGAAGGAAAGAAATCCCACCAAATTCAAGTAATATAGTATCTTTTAAAAGGGATTTTCTTCTAGCTTCTATTATCTAGCAATATTGCATTGACTGTGGTTTTGCATCAATTTAACTTTTCCAAATCAGCATTTCTGACATGGTGTAGGAAAACATGAAGATGATTGTAAATCAGGATTGCTTGGCCCATGGTGCCTGCAAAGATTTGAATTATTTCCTCAACATTTTACACATATTTAAAAAAAGACCTTGCCATTGAACCCCAGGGTGGTGGTGTCGTCCCTGGAGTCCCTCTCTTAAGGCGCTAATGCCTTGGCTATTTGGAATCCAGCAGACATCAGGCTCCGGTAATTCCACTTAGCAGTGGCGCTGGCACCCCTGCACTGCGGCAGGACCTCAGCACTGCGGCAAACTGTTGCGGTTGCGCAGCCAAAGCCGGAGGGGAGGTTTGCTGCGCATGCGCATGTGGAACTGGTGTGATTAGTTGGTGTTGCTGCAGTGACTCAAGCGCAGAGTGGAGTGGTCGCCGGAGATGCCTGACGGTCTGTACTGAGGAGCGGCTAGCAGCGCGATGGAGCGGGCCAGGTTAGCTGTGTGGATCTCTTCCCTTAGAGACAGCCTGAGGAATAGTCATTTTTGTTTGTTCAGTGTTCCAAGTTCGTAGAATTTAAAGTATTGGTGTATATAGTGGGAATCTGGCTCTAAAGTTCGTTGTTCTGGAGAATTGAATGGTACACTTTTGAAGGTTTGGGGATTGGTTGGACCTCCCTGGACGATACTCTGACCGTGCCGTGTCATATTGCAGCCGGTATATGCCACTGTATTGTGTCCCATCAGATCCATTCTAGAGTGGCCCTTTGTCCTTGAGATATGAGGCCATGACTGTGGTTGAGGAGGGTATATTGTGATGGCTGTGGTGCGAAAGGCAGGGGAAGGTACGATGGGGTGGGATCAGTGGGGAATCCACAGTACCAAGGAGGGGGTGACAGGGTAGGGCATCGGGTATTGGTGACCGTGGTATCTGGGGGTAGCAGGGTGGCTGAAGTGGTGATAAGGAGGGGTCTTGAGGGTGAGGTGTCCACTATGATGTGATCATGTTGTAGCAATGGTGTCCGCCATGGTGGTGGTGGGAGGGAGTAGAGGGTAGGCTGTTCTTGGTTGTGATGGTAGTGAGGGGGTAGCCACGGTGGCCGTGCTGGTGGTTTGGGGGTCAACAAGGTGGCCACTGTGGCAGTGATACGGAAGAGATGGCAGGGTGACTAGCAAGGTGATCATGGTGGCCATGGTTTGGGGGGAGGCAGCAAAGTGACCGTCATGGTGGTGGTAGGGAGGGGCGGAGGTGGTAAGGGGCAGTGGGGGTGGCTGCCATGGCGGTGTTTGGGAGGGGGGTGGCAGGGAGGCCACCGTGAGGGTGCTACAAAGAGGGTGGCACGGTGAAAGGGGTGACCCACCTTGGATATGGTATGTGTGGGGGCGGTGAGGCAGCCATGATGGTGGTGACGGGAGGGGCGATCAGGTGGTGGTGGGGGCAGTCATGGTGGTGTGTGGGAACCTTGGAAGAGTGGCCGCCATGGTGGTGGTTGAATGAACGCAGTAAAAGGCGGCGAAGGCAGTGGATCTGTAGTCTGGTAGTGGGCTGTTGGAAGGGGCAGCGAGTGGTCTACAACCCTTAGTTTGAGGGAAAGGGGAGACCGTTCATTTGTTCTCTAATCTGAGGCGGTCTAAAGAGTTTATTTTAGGGCGAACCTATCCATTACTCATCTGAAGGGATAGCTGCATAAATGTTTGTCTTTAGATATTTTACTCCTTCATAATTCCTCGCTTTTGTGGTTTTGGTGTAAGATTAGGGATATGGTGTGCAGAGTTTGCTTTATGAACTTGTGAGAGTCGTACCAGGTTCTGGGATGTAACACTGCAGAGGCGTGTCTTGTTTGCACTGATTTTTCCTGTATTCGGAATAAGGTTTTCAGCGGTCCGCTGCCGCGTCACGACCATTGTGCGGCTCGCCAAAGATGGCTGCCGCTGCAGATGTGCGGATCTGCGCAGGCGTGACAGGGTTGGGGGCAGCCTACCCCTCCCCCAGTGCCGCAGTGGGGGAAGGGTAGTCTATGCAGCTTCTCCCAGGCGGCAATTTCGGCGGCACCTTCAAAGCGCAGTGCTGAGGGGAGGAGGCAGGCAACGTGGGCAAGCTGCCCCTCCCCAAAGTGCCGCAGTGGGGAAGGGTGCGGGATTTTGGGTGCGCAGGCGCAACTGGGAAGACACTGTCTCCGCCCGGCAATGGGGCGGGCATCAGGGGAGGGGGTTTGCGCAGCATCCGCTTGGTGGGGCTGGCAGCTACCCCCCCTTCACCTGTCTGCTGTAACGGCTGCTCCTGCCCTCTTGTGCTGCAGTGCATGGAGGGAAGGAAGACGTGGATTTGCTGAGCTTGTACCTTGGTCCGCCCCTTGCCCATAGGGGGCAACGGGGCAAAGGATTTGTACGTTCTATGCCTGCCTAGACTGGCAGCCATGCTGTGCCCCTACTTTTCTGTTGCGCCGCAGAAGGGAGAGATGGGGGCCTGCAGGCAGGGCAAGAAAGGCGAAGTCATCCCATGATCCACAGTGCTATTACTAAAGGCAGCCTCTATCAATGGTGCTGATTTTAAATGTTTTCTGACTTACAGAGGTCCACCTTTTCATTTTTATAGATTCCCTAGGTTGTATTATGAGCGGTCTCTTAATATTCAAAGGGGATTCAGTAACCCTTTAGAAAACCCCTTATTACATTTGATTTCCACTTTACAGATTCGATAATTGCACAACTGCATCACCTTTAAGAGTGTCGTATTTTTTAATCTGTGGATGTTCTTTTTGTGATGCGGCCTTTATATACCGTTTCCTTAAATCGGGGATCAGGGCTCCTGCAGGGTTTTTAGGAGCTGAGACCTATAAGTTTTCTTTGCTGAAGGGGAGCAGAACAGAGAATCAGAAAAGTAGAATGCTAGACGGCTGTAAGTATATGTTGGATTAGGGAATTCTTGCCCTAGTCAGGTTTTTAAAGTGATGCTTTTGACCCATCATTTTGAAGTTGGACCTACTATGAAAATTTGGTGAGAAAATATAATTAAGAAAGTAACTATTCCAGTGTCCTGTATTCCACCTTTGAAGGGGACCATTTTCAAGGACTTTGTTTTTCTTTGCAGAATGTTGATGGGCTTGCCTTTTTTTTTTTTTTCCTCTCTATCACAAACAATATGGTGGTGCTAAATTGGAATGTAATTAAGGAAAACATAAACCCAGAAGACTTGGAAAGCTTTGTTGTGGAATTTTCTTTTGAGTAGTTTTAGAAATAGCAGGAGGCTGGAATTCTGTGATACTTACGGTTTGCTCATTTTTTCCTACTTGTATACACATACTGCTTCAAAGAATTATATTTTGCTTTAACTTCTGATCATTTTGGCTATTTGCAAAATGAGCGTGTATTATCCTGATCAGCCATTTTGTAGTTTGTCACGGAGACTCAGGATCTCAATATGGCGGATCCCTTTGGAAAGACCTCTGAGGTTTCAAGGTCTCTGCCCTGCCCACTGAATATTTGGCTTAGTAGCAGGGCTTTTTGAAAATGACGAGGCAGTGTGAACCCTTTCTGTGGTTTAGTGCAAGGAAACAGTCCAGGGATTGTTGTATTGCTATCTAAGGCAAGGTACTGTCTGGTTTGGGTTTATTCAGATTATTTTGTATTATATTGGTTTGCCCAGTGCATCTGTCACATGTCTCATTACTGAAATACTTTCCCCATATGTGGTGATGCTACATCTTTATTCCTGCCCTTTCCTCTGAATGTGCTCAGATTTGTTTTTTAAAAATTCCACATTTAATATGTCAAGGCCTCAAAGTTACTCTTTTTTTTAATTGGAGTTTTGTTGACACACAATGCTTCATTAGTTCCAAGTGCACAGCGTAGTGATTCAACAACTCTCTATGTTGTGCAGTGTTCATAAGTGTAGTTACCCTCTGTCACCATACAGTGCTGTTGAAATACATATCATTGACTATATTCTCTATTGCATTCCCCTCACTTACTCATTCCATATCTGGAAGCTTGCACCTCCCACTCCCCTTCACCTGTTTTGCCCCTCCTCCCCATTCTCCCCTCTGGTAACCACCAGTTTCATCTCTGTTCTTTTGGGTGTCTGTTTCTGTTTGGGTTTTTTTGTTTCTTCTTCTTCTTTTTTTTTGATTCCACATATAAGTGAAATAATAAGGTACTTGAATTTCTCTGACTTATTTCACTTAGCATAATACCCTTTCGGTCCATCCATCTTGTCAAAAATGGCAAAATTTTTTTTTATAGCTGAGTAATATTGTATTTATATACTGCATGTTTATCCATTCATCTATTGACAGACACATGGATAGTTGCTTTACTATCTTGGGTATTATACATAATGCTACAGTCAACCCAGGAGTACATGTATGTTTTTGAATTAGTGCTTTTGTTTTCTTTGGATAAATGATCAGAAGTGGAATTACTGGATCATGTGCTATTTCTATTTTTAATTTTTTGAGGAACCTATATACTGTTTTCCACAGTGATTGGACCAGTTTACATTTCTACCAAGAGTGCATGAGTTTCTTTTTTCCACATCCTCACAAAGAGTTATTTCTTGTCTTTTTGATACTAGCCATTCTGACTGGTATGAGGTGATATCTGACTGTGGTATTGATTTGCATTTTCCTGATGATTAGTGATATTGAGCGTCTTCTCATGTATTTGTTGGTGCTCTATATATCTTTGAAAAAAAAAATGTCTGTTCAGTTCCTCTGCCCATTTTTAATGGGATTTTTTTATTTGTGTGTGTGTGTGTGTGGGCATGTGTATGTATGTTATTTATATACTAACCCCTTATCAGATACATTAAATTATCAGATACATTACATTACGTTAACCCCTTATCAGATCTATCATTTGCAAATACTTTCTCCCATTCAGTAGGTTGCCTGTTTTTTGTTGGTGTTGTCCATTGCTGTGCAAAAGCTTTTTATTTTCATGTAGACCCTATAGTTTAATTGTTTTTGTTTCTCTTGCCAGAGGAGACCTCTATAGGAAAATTTTGCTAAGGCCAACATCTAATAAATTACTGCTTTTATTTTCTTTAAGGAGTTTTATGGTTTCAGGTCTCACATTTAGGTCTTTAATCCATTTGAGTTTACTTTGACATTGTACTCTGCTACTTAGCTATATTTAGAAGGAATCCTTGAATTAAGCAGGGTATGAGAATTGACTCAACATGACAGGGACAATGAGATTTTTTGTCTTTCTTCAGTGTACATTAGGATTTTATTGCTGGTCTCCTTAGCCCCTTCCACTTGTGTGGCCCAGATCCAGAAAGCTTAAGAGTTGTTGATGGTTAAGGTTGTCTCTCTCACTAACAAAGGTTGTATAAGGGAGTCATTTCTTTTGCCTTCTAGTTCCTGAATGCTGGCTGGCTTAGAAATTTCTTTTTGATGGTTCGACAGGTTTTGGTTTAGAGGCACTGATTTTCTCATGATTATGGGAAGATCTGTAGACTGAGATTACCTCACATTTTCTTTTTTTATTTTTCATTCTTGAGATCTTAGTAGTTGAATTTTTATTAGGTTTTTTGGGCAGGATGTAAGGGATATTATATATTTGACAGAATGTTAGGCTATTTGGAAAACATTGTGTGATCTCATCCTTGTTGCTTCTCATTGTATTTCCAAATTAGTATTATTTTTTTAATGAAAGTAATTTTGGAGCAAAAAAATTAACATTATGCACATACAACTTTTTCCATTAACTTTTTAAAGTATGTTCTATGCCCAATGTGGGGCTTGAACTCACAACCCTGAAATCGAGTCACATGCTCCACCGACTGAGCCAACAAACCCCATCTTTTTTTCCTTTATTGTTTACTTATTTGTTTAAGATTTTATTTTTAAGTAATCTCTACACCCAATGTGGGGCTTGAACCCACAACCCTGAGATCAAGAGTTGCATGCTTCATTGAATGAGTCAGCCAGGCACCTCTCTATTTTTCCTTTAAATGCTTATTTTCTGAAAGCTGGTTTCTAGGTTGTGAATGCAGTAGGAAGATTATAAACCCACATGTATGTATATTTAGAACAAACTTCCTATATTGTGAAAACAGTACTGCTCCTTGATTTTACATGGAGCTTTAAGTTTCTCTTAAAGATTTTGTTTATTTGACAGAGAGAGACACAGTGAGAGAGGGAGCACAAGCAGGGAAAGGGGAGAGGGAGAAGCAGGCTTCCCACAGAACGGGGAGCCCGATGCGGGGCTCAATTCCAGGATCCTGGGATCATGACCTGAGCCGAAGGCAGACGCGTAACGACTGAGCCACCTAGGCACCCCATACATGTAGCTTTAAAAATGGATTTAGAAAATTGAATAATTTTGTGTGCTGTTTCATTTCTCCCATGAACTCAGACTTTTTCATACTGCGCAACTGCTGTGAAGGGATAAAGGAACTGAAGATTTTTGTTTATTTTTATTTTTTGGTAATGCGGTATTTTCAATTATACTATTAGATTAATCATAATTGATGGTCTATGACATAGAGGTCTATGATAGTTCTTTTTATTATATAATTTTAATATAATATTAACAAATATATTTGTGAACCATGTTTCATCGATAAATACTTCATTCCATTTTGGCACTGAATGACATTCCATTGTATTGAATGTACCATACTGCACCATATTTGGTTTATCCATTTTTTAGTGGTTGTACTTTGGGTTGTTTCTGCTTTTTGGCTCTTAAGATTAAAGCTGCTAGGAACATTCACACTCAAGTTTATATGATTTTGTTTTTTTTTTACTCCCTCTTGGTGTTCACTTCGGCAGCACATATATTTTACTTCCTCTAGGAGTTGAATTAGTGTCAAATGCTAAACTATGTGGTTCACATTTTTAGGAAGTGTCAGAGGCTACACCATTTCACATTCCCACTACCAGTTTCTCCACCTCCTCCTCCACTCCGGAGGTGTGAAGTAGTAAGTTTGTAGTTTTTATTTGCATTTCCCTAATGACTATACTGATATTAAATATCTTTTTTTGTGCTGATATAAATTTGTATGTCTGTGGAAAGTAATCTGTTCCAATCTTTCACCCATTGTTAAGTGGAGTTTTTTCATTTTATTATTGAGTTGTAAGCGTTTTTGAGCTGTGTGAATTGCAAATATTTTCTCCCATTTGGCCAGTTACATTTTCACTTTCTTAATAGTGTCCTTTGAAGCAAATACGTATTTTACTTTTGATGAAATCCAATTTATGGATTCCTTTCTCTGGTGCTTCAGGTATCTAGGAAACCATTGCCTAATCAAAGGTCAAGGAGATTAGCAAATTATATACTTTTATGATTTAAAAATCTGTTATGTACATTTGTGATTTTTAAATGATTTCTTTTTTTTTTTTTAAGATTTTATTTATTTATTTGACAGAGAGAGTGAGAGAGCACAAGCAGGGGGAGCAGTAGAAGGAGAGGGAGAAGCAGGCTTCCCGCTGAGCAAGGAGCCCAGTGCGGAGCTCGATCCCAGGACTCTGGGATCATGACCTGAGCTGAAGGCAGACGCTTAACCATCTGAGCCACCCAGGCGCCCCTTAAATGATTTCTAATGCTTGATTGAAACACTAAAGTTTTTGAAGCAGTAAAGCAACTTGGGTTTATTGGAAAGCTATTTGATTGGGTTATTTTGCATAATCTAACATGAATTTGAAAATAGCAAGGGTTCAAAGAATGAGTTTTGGGGATGCTTCCTTGAATTCTGCCCTGGAGGGAGGGGAGCCTAGGTGGCTCAGTCGGTGAAGTGGCTGCCTTCAGCTCAGGTTGTGATCTCAGGGTCCTGGGATCCAGCCCCATGTTGGGCTCTCTGCTCAGCGGGGAGCCTGTTTCTCCCTCTCCCTCTGTCTACTGCTCTGCCTACTTGTGCTCGCGCTCTGTCAAATAAATAAAATATTTTAAAAAATGAATTCTGCCCTGGAAATATTACATTGCATGATTTTTGTAAACTGCTTTTCTTCTAGCCTCTCTGATTAGCATTGTTAAATTGCAGTTGTAAGAGTGATTCCTGTAGTGGGGCGCCTGGGTGGCTCAGTTGGTTAAGCGACTGCCTTCGGCTCGGGTCATGATCCTGGAGTCCTGGGATCGAGTCCCGCATCGGGCTCCCTG